CTTTGGTAATCTTGGATTATTGACCAGTTACGTCCTTAGGGGTTGTTTGGGATGACCTAAATAAGTGTACTTTTTGTCTTTTTATGAAAAGATGTGCGGAAAAGTAGAGAGGTGATATGATGGAAAAAAGATAAAAAGATGAATTATTTTTGGGTTGCCAAACTTGACCTTAATCTCGTGGGGCGGGTGTTGGGTCATGACAACTTTGTTCTTTTAGATAAATGATTTAAACGCCTGGATCTTTAACCAAATAAAATTGAGATTTGGACTTATTTACCGAGTGTCCTAAAAATAATAATTTTTACTAAAAACTTAAGGGAAAATTATTTTTAGAAAAATCATAATTTGATAATCTAATCTCACATTTTGGAGAAATGTGAATTATTTAAGTTTACCTTTGCTATCGAATAATGAAATTGAGAGGTCGTTTGTCAACTAGTTAAAAATAATAATTTTACTAAAAAACTTAAGGAAAATTTATTTTTTAAAATATCATAATTTGATTTTTATAACAAAATAAATTTATTTTATCAATTTCAACTCAATTTTTTTATTTGTTTTCAATTTAAACATCTGCCAATTTCTATTAAGTAAAATTGACGAAAAGAATTATATTTTAGTCATTAAGCTGTGTATGAAAAATTTCTAAAATATCCGTTTTTATTAAGGTCAAGTTTGGCAACTCCAATATAATCCATTTTTTTATCTTTTTTTCATCACATCACCTTTCTACTTTTCTGCATATCTTTTCGTAAAAAAACAAAAAGTGCACTTATTTAGGTCATCCCAAACAATCCCTAAGTTTAGTAACAAAAATATACTCTTTTGATCGTGTTACTTAATGGAAACAGGTGAAAAATTTTAATTGAAAATAAATCAAAATATTAGAGTTTGAGTTGACAAAAATAAGTAATTCATAATTTATTTTGTTACAAGATTCAAACATTGAGATTCTTTTGTGATTTTTTAAAAAGGTTAAAAAATCAAGTGTAATTTTTTTTTGCACCACAATTTTACCTCATTACATCATTTTTTAATAGACATTCCCCATATTTTAAATAATAATTTTTTAATAACTTATTAAAGCTATTGCGGTCTATGATAATTATAAACAAAAACTGCACTAAATAGTTTGAGACAGACTTTCAAATTAAATAAGTGATAATCAACTTATTTTTTTATTCTTTTTAGATAGGTATAGATATAAAATAGATAGATAGCTAGATAGATGAGATTAAAAAAAATTACCACAATGTTGTAAAATTATTTTAAAAATATTAAAATTAAAATTATTAATATTTATAAAATAAAATTTATCACTTATTTGTAATTAATTTTTAAAAATATATACTGAATTATTATTTATCGATGAGAAATTAGTGGGTCCCACCGGATATTGTATTATTGCATATTAGTTATATAAAGTCCAAATAAAATTATCAAATGGAAGAGAGTCCAAAGGGATAAAATTATCAAATGGAAGAGAGTCCAAAGGGAGTGAATCACAAAGGGATGTTGTCAATTGTTAGGTGTGAGAGGGGGATCCTGACCTGCTACCCTCCAAACTCTAAAAATCAACACTGCACGGGGTACGATCAATGGTATTGTACACGGACGAATGTGCCCTCATTGGTTTTGGTTTTCAAAGTTTAAATTATAGGATTTTTTAAAATTTTATTTCTTTATAATTTAATCGAACCTTCGGAATTTATTTAATTTCCACTTCATTTGTTTATAAATACATTTTTAAATATATATTATGGCGAATTACACTAATAGTTCTTAGGGTTTGGGACTTATGTCATTTTGATCATTGACTTTTCAATTGTGATATATTTGATTTTGAATTTTGAATCTCGTTTCAAATAATGACAATTGAACACATTGTTGCTCCATCTGAAGGGTAAAGTCGTCATATAACTTTTGTGTTAGTTAATTTATATGTTGTTTGAAATATAATAACTTTTTTTTATAATGAATAATGTTAAAACTTTTTTTGTTATAAAGTTTTGTTTATTTTGATTTCAGAATTTTTTTCTAAGAAATTAAAAATTAATTTGATGAAAAAAATTACAAACATATTAAATTATTATTATTATTATTATTTTAAGTCAAACATAGTGACAACTTTAATATTATTATTAAACCAATTCATTAAATCAAAAAATCTAAAGTAAAAAATATTTTATATATTAAATATATCGATTAATTTGATAAAAAAATAAAAAAATAAACATGTAAAATATTAATCATTTTTATATAATTTTATTTTTGGTTAGTATAAATAATTTTTAAAAATTTAAAAATATTTTTTTGACATTTATTTTTATCAAGTTAATTTATATTTTATCAAATTGATGACTTTACTTTTAAAATAGAGTAATAATATCCTTAATTATCCTTATTTAAAACAAAAATCAAAATTCAGAATTAAATATATCATAATTAAATAATCAAAAACAAATTAATATAAGTCTTAAATTATAAAAACTATTAATATAATTTACCTTATATATGGCCAAGTTTGGGAAGACTAAAAAAGTGCACTTTTTGTCTTTTTGGACTAAAAAATTGAGGTTGAAAATATGGATGTTTGGGTTAACTTTTTGACTTTTTATTGAAAAATGTGTAATAAAAAATTGTAAAAATTGATTTGTAGGGAAAAATTTGAATTGGGAGTTGTGCAGCCGTAATTGTTGACTTTTGGTAAATAGTATTAACTTTTTAACTTTTTGAGTAACTTTTTGACTTTTTGGCTTTTTTTGAAGTCCCCAGACTTGGCCTAAAAGTCATATTATATATGTGTTGTTTAGAAAGAGTTTATAAAGTGAATACATAGAACAATGTGAAAATTTGATGTGATTTTTTGCTCCCCAACCCAACCCAATCCAACTCAACCCAACTCAAATTTTTCATTTTACTATTGTTTTAGTTCTGCATAAATTAAAAAAAAATTACTGTGATACGTTGGTCCTTTTACATTGTAGAAGTCAACTTTTTTATATGAATAATCCTAAACTTTTTCTTTGTAACTTTTAAATTTTTTAGTTGAAACAACTTCTTCTCAAACGAGGTGATAACTTTTAGATATTAATGAGGCATTATTTATAAAAAAATAATCATAACTATAATAAAAATGAGCGTAACATTCATCTCTAACTTGGAATAGTAAAAGAAATTTAATATTTTTTATTTATTTATTAAGGTTTCTTAGTAATATTATTAGGAAAATTTTAACTCCTTATAGAGAAATTTAATTAAAATTTTTATGTAAAAATGTTAAGAGATTTCAATTATTATAAAAATATCACATACATTTTATCTTATAAAATCATAACATCAAGGATATTAAACTAATTTTTTTTAGGTCCCGTTTGGGAACAGGCTAATTTAGTAATTTTTTAGCTATTTGACTAAAATATGAATTAAAAAAAATTAGTATATTTGGAATGACTTTTTAACTCTAAGAAAAAATATATAAAAAGTAAAGAAAAAAAAAATCTTAACTTTTTAATATAAATTATTAATTTTTTAATTAATTTAATAATTTTTTGCCTTCTTAAAAAAAATGAAAGGTAGTATATATTTTATTTTGCCTATCAACTGTTTTATGTTTTTACTCCAACCATGCTCTTTATTTTAGCTATTTATCCAAATACTATTAATTTTATAGAATGCCACGTCAACAACAAAGATGGAGGGAAATGATCCTAATGATTGAATACATTTTGCCTAGCGTTGAAGGCTAGCTACATGTAGCTAGTGAATATGAGTTGAGCCAAAATGCCTAATCATATGCCTAGTACATTAGAATTGAAAAAAGTGAATCACACTAGGCATTTTAACTAACAAGTATTATATGCCTAGTGCATTGGAGATGCTCTATGCTAATTTTTTTGGGGTAGTTTGGATGTGATTAGTTTAGAAGGCGAACTTTTGTTGATTGGTATGAAATCAAGATTTGAAGATGGAATCTTATTTTTAATCATGGTTGATTAAATAAAATATTTCAGTCACGTTATAGTTGATGGTTTGTTGTGGAGGTGGGGTGGGTAGGTGGGTCAACTTGCTCTTTATTTTTTGAGGGCTATCCCTTTTTGACTTAAAATATATAAGTTTTAAGAGAAATACTGTAAATCTTACAAATTATTTTTTACTATCTAATGTCATGCAATAAAGAAAGAAACTTTGGAAACTAAAACAGTACCCATTTTTGCAATATGATAAAAATTTGTAAGCTTTGTTAGTTTGTATAAAAACTTGCTCTGTTCAAAAGTTTACCATGTCTAGTTTTTTTGTTTTTTTTGGTTTGTAGTTTGATCTAAAATTTTCTCTCCCTATGGTTTAATTTGAACAATGTTAACCTTAGGTCCTTCCATCCAAAAATGGACTATGCTAAAATTGTTAAAACCGAATTAATAAAAACTAAAGTGAAATTTGGGATTCAAATTTCAAGGGTTAAATGTGTAATTTACCCTTTTTGGGGGGTTTATTTGTTGTTGGAAAAATCTCATATAAATGAAAATTGAGAAAACTAATCGCAAATCATTGGAGTGCCACAGTTCTTCTTTGCATTTCATTGATTTGCAGTTAGTTTCTTCATTTTCTACACAACGATTTTCCCCTTATGTTGTTTTGTTTTTATTTTTTATTTTTTATTTTTAAACTGCAATTAAGGTGAAATATGTTTCATCCTCTTTTGTACAATTTCGGGACAAATAAAATATTTTCTAACTTTCGATATATTGTTGAGAATATTCCCATTTGTGTCATCAAATTTTGAACATTTATTTTATGCAAGATATCCCGAGTTCATAATAATTCTTTTGATTTGTGACTAATCATACTTTAGTGCTACATGAAATCTTGTTTTAAATTATGGCGTTTCCACTTTCTCTTGATGCTTAATACCATCAATTTATCACACTTTCTATATATTGGAGAGTATGAATGTGCAACACGGTGCTTATTTGCTCTGGGTTTCTTCATTGATGGTGTAGAAATCTATTGCATCTCCTGGTCGTGGCATCCTTGCCATTGATGAATCAAACGCCACTTGTGGGAAGAGATTATCATCTATTGGCCTGGACAACACTGAAGTGAACAGGCAGGCTTATAGACAGCTTTTGCTGACTACTCCTGGCCTGGGTGAGTATATTTCTGGTGCGATTCTTTTTGAGGAGACACTTTACCAGTCGACAACAGATGGGAAGAAGTTTGTGGATTGCTTATGTGAGCAGAATATTGTACCTGGAATCAAAGTCGATAAGGTATGCTTTCTCGTTCATGTTAATTATTTGGCAAATTGTTCCACCTTATGACTAAACCTTTCTTTATATCTTTGTCTTGTTAAATTAATTCTCCCACTTTTTACACATGTTTTCAGGGTTTAGTTCCCCTACCAGGATCCAACAATGAATCTTGGTGCCAGGGATTAGATGGATTGGCTTCTAGATCTGCTGAATACTATAAGCAAGGTGCTCGCTTCGCAAAGTGGTAAGGCTCCAAAAGAATAGTAGTACTAGTTTCTATTGACATGGAAGAGTAAATGTCATGGTTCAATACTTTATTTACATTTCTGTATGAAATTTATAGGCGCACAGTTGTCAGCATTCCTTGTGGTCCTTCTGCTTTGGCTGTGAAAGAAGCAGCATGGGGACTTGCTCGTTATGCTGGCATTTCTCAGGTATGACACTCTCTCTCTCTCTCTCTCTCTCTCTCTCTCTCTCTCTCTCTCTCTCTCAGAGTAAGAAATAGAGGATATTTAGTCTAAATTGAATAGAGGAAGGAAATTGTTGATATAGCTTTGCTGCACAGGTGCATTATGCTTAAAGGGAAGTTATTAAATGATAACTTCATTTTTTAATTATTGGTAACTATAGAATGCAAATGGGCTAAGTAAAATTTGTCTTGTAATATATTTGACAAGTACCTGCTCGGCAATGGATTCAAGATGATGACAGAAATTATTCATCTAAAGCACATTCTATACTCATTGAGCATTCACATCAGAACCTCCTTATCCATAAGTTATGATTTGTATTGGAGTTGATAAAACAGTAAGAGAATTTTGCGAAGTCTAAGTTTGTTGAGTGTTTCTCACATATGTTCTTTTAAGTTCTCGTCACAAATTCGCCATTTTCTGCTTGATTGTGTGTGGTAGAATTCTGAGTTACTCTAGTTTTCAATATTTCCGCTTTGATAAATTCATAGAAGTTTTCTGCAAGAATATTGTCTTGTCATTCTGCGATTTAGTATAATAAACAGATTAGAAGTGAAGTTGGTAAAGCATAGGGAAATTTTTGTTCAATACAGTTTTTTTTATCACTCTTAATCATTCAATATATTTTCTTTTCCGATGGTACACTAATTTTTCAGGATCAAATTTTTAATCGTTTTGGTTTCTTGTGTAGGATAATGGTCTCGTGCCTATTGTGGAACCTGAGATTCTTCTTGATGGGGAGCACCCTATTGAGAGGACACTAGAGGTTGCGGAGCGTGTGTGGGCAGAAGTCTTCTACTACTTGGCTGAGAACAGTGTGATGTTTGAAGGTATCTTGCTTAAGCCCAGCATGGTAACCCCAGGAGCTGAGCATAAGGAGAAAGCTTCTCCAGAGACCATTGCCAAACATACACTCACTATGCTTAAGAGGAGAGTGCCGCCATCAGTTCCAGGAATCATGGTAAAATTGCCTGAACCATTTCTGATAAATTTACATGCTTCATTACTTTTCTCTCTGTTTTTGTTACAATTTTGTTCAAACTCTTTGAGCTCTTATTCTCAATATTTATTGAACAGAGAATTAGCGTTCCAATTTTTCACACAAAGACCATGCTTCTAGTCTGAGTTCATAAACAAAAAAATGTTCGACTTTAAATGATTTTGGTAAAAAAATGTGGCTAACATGTGGGCCTGTTTGGTGCAATTTTTTATAAGCTGAAAACTGATAATCAAAAAGCAGAAGCCAAAGGTACCTCTCCTGCAGCTTTCATATAATCAGTTTTTTCATGTTATGCAAGTTATTTCTATCTAATTAGCTATAAGCAAAAGCTGTACCAAACAATTTGGCACAAGCTCCGAAATTTTTTATTTTTTATTTTTAACTATAAGCTGCATCAAACAGCCCCTAGTGTTAACATTGAGTTATATGATGGTAATTTAAATTGATTTCTCTGTGGTTTGATTCAGAGCAAAAATGGTCAATTGGTCCCCTTGGGTCTTCTAGTTGGGCAACAGATGATACCTTTTTGTGTTCATCCTGAGATCAAAATCACATGTATTCTATCAATATATAGATGCTGTATTGTTTTCCACTTTTATGCTAGTTGATTTCGATTTGTGGGTTTGTTGTTGATTTCTAAAGACAATGTCCTTGTTTATTTTTGTAGTTCTTGTCGGGAGGACAATCTGAAATGGAGGCAACATTGAACCTAAATGCAATGAATCAAAGTCCCAACCCATGGCATGTTTCTTTCTCTTATGCACGTGCATTGCAGAACTCTGTTCTCAAGACATGGCAGGGACATCCCAAGAATGTTGAAGCCGCACAGAAGGCTCTTTTAGCACGTGCAAAAGCTAACTCTCTAGCTCAACTTGGAAAGTATACTGCTGAGGGCGAGAACGAGGATGCTAAGAAAGGAATGTTCTCCAAGGGCTACACCTACTAAGCCAGAGTTCAGTTGTTTCTCGGTCTCTACTAGACTTGTACTCACTATTTTGCTTGCTTTTGCCTTTTTCTTTGTTAGCTATGAGTGCTGAGGAGGCTTGCTAGATAAGCTTAGTTTTGCTCATTTGTTGTCTACTTGTTTTGAATAATGACTTGTGATAAAAGCTCATTTCCAATTGCAACCCTGGAGGAGGTGGGTTAGAGAAAGCAAAGATATACTTTTACAATTGTTAAGAGTTTATGTTTATTGAACACCACCATTGTTAAGTTTGTGTTATTGAGCAACCTTTTGGGTTGGTCATGTTTGGTTCTATTTTCATTTTTTGGAAATAGTCCTCGAGTTCATTTCACTGGTGAAATCTGTGAATTGCTTGAAAATTCTGTGTTATGCGTTATACCATCCTTATTTGTTACTTTCCTGCTGTAGATGGAATATTACTTGTATGTATATTTGTGGGGCATTACCATTCTATGATGAGGCCTCGGTTAGCAACTTGACTTTTTGACTAAAAAATTCAATAAATTACTATAAAAAAAAAATTTTAAAAAAAACCTCAGGTTGTTTGGTAACGTTTACGTTTTCAGTTTATATTTACAAAAATTTTATAAATTGATTTTTGTTTATTTTTAGAAAAATATAAACTACAAACGCGTTTGGTAATTGACAAAATGCTTACAAAATTTAAAAAATATAAAAAAGAGTGAAAAATGGCAAGTAGTGGTAAGTGGCGGCGAAAGACGGTGGTGGCAAGTGGCAGCGAAAGATGATGGGTGGTGGGTGATGGCGGGTGGGTAGGTGGGTGACGATGGCGGGTGGTAGCGAGTGGATGGTGGTGGTGGTGGCGGGTGGTGGAAAGTGGTGACGGTGAGTGGTGG